GACAGCTCGCAGTAGATGGGCTGTCTTTTTAGGAACAGGGCTATGTCTCTGTATTGAGGTCACACTCAACTTTTGGTTGACAAAAAGATATTCCACAGCTCCATCCAGAGATCAGATTTCATGGCAACGGCGCTGCTCAGCTGATTGTTTTAGGTGTCTTCAAGATCAATGCGGATTGGATGGAAAAATATGGTCTGGAGTATGAGACGGCTCTTGTTTGAAGAAACACTGCCTTGTAAAGAAGGTCTTAACATCAAAGCGAGATATCAGCCCTGTTCAGGTACTCAATTAGGTGCTCAAATCACACCAAAGCGATTCTCTGATCGATGTATCTTTCCATTATTGTTCTCAAAAGTGTCATAATATCCGATACTGAGCTCGAACCGTAGCTTTCCATTGTGATTTAACGCACAGTTAAAGATTGATGCCTTTTGATACTACAAGTTTCACCAAAATCGAAATATGTATAGCCTTATTTATTGTCTTTGTTGAAATGATGCTCACTGACTTATTTGTAATAAAAGTAATAACTTGATTAAGACACTGTTAACAAAGTCTGATCACTTCGTTGATGCGCGATGATAAGATAAACAAAAGGAAAAACCTATAAGCAATTATCAAACACCTAAGCTAAAACTAACGCTTACAGACATGTACTCAAAATTTACTGAATTTCTTCATACTTGGGCTGTTTTGAAGATGAAGGAACCTGAAAAAACGAGGAAGACAAATATGTTTCAGTGAACATAAATATATAAAACCAAATATGAGCAAGAACCGCTTCGAAGGTCCGAATACCTACTTTGTTTTCAACTTTTCAATCCTTCGATTTTGCTCAATCTGACGAATTCGGAGAGCTCTCCAGTATAACCAGCCATCCTTAATTATCTACTGTCCACCCGAGCGGAAATGCATAATGAACACAACAAGACAACTACCTTCTCAGGATCCAGGTCTTCAAGAGCGCGTGGAGGTCGTAAGTCGAGTTCAAAAAGCCAAGAAGGATACTCGGAATCCGGTAGGATTTTAGGACCAGGTTCTTCGCCTGAAAAAAATTAAATCTTTGAGCTTAAATGAAATTATAACAAACAATACTTTGTTTTTTTAAGGAAAAAGAGTTCTCCTGTATTAAGACGAGCTTTTATAAGGGTTGGAAGATTTGGCACCTACGGCAATTGATTTTCCGAAATCGAGATGAAAAAGTCAAAAGCTGCTCCAGACAATGATTCCACTGTGAACTCAAAGAAGGAGAACTCGAATTCATGCATGAACATATCTTTCCAAACGATTTATGTGACAGAAATTTCATCCAACGATACCGCAGCTAGGGCAAAACAAAAAGGACTTTTCAGAAAAAATATGCAAGATCAAACTCAACCATGGCAGGAAATGTCTCACGTCACCACTACCGCCCACTTTTGAACACTGCGTGAAAATTTGAGACTGGCAAGATAGTATCCGGACTCTCTCGCCATCCTCAAAATGTTTCGAAAATCAAAAACAAAAGCAAAGATTCAATGATGCGACCTTTATCATAGCTTACAAGGGGGAAAGTTGGTGTGGGAAGCGAAGCAAGATAAAGCCAACCTTAAGACACCTAGCTCGCTTACTTAATTTTCCCTCCGCCTTCCCGTGAGTATGTCGACAAATCTACACCAATTTCAAGGCGTCATTCGGAGACTGATGAGGATATTTATCATAGTTGAAACTTTGAATTCACTAAATCACTGAATAATTCTGCATGAACAAACACAAGTACGGCGAGCACAGTCGGACATTAAGCAATCCTGGATAATGAAAAACTCCCATATCACAGGCGCCGGGATCCAAACGCATGTTTATCGAGCAAAGCTCAAGTGCGGTTGCCATTTCTTACTCACATGCTGAATCACAGCCAGAAGCTACGGATGATGCGTATATAACATGTAAGACTGCGATTTGAATATATTTTCCACTCTATTGGTTGTACCAAGTTCCAGCTTCCAGTCGGTATTCGCTTACTCGCTTAGAGTCTTGACCTATCATTTGCACGAATGCCACACCATTAGTTTATATCAATAAGAATCAAAAGCATCGTTCATTTTAAAGTATTTCAAACCCTGCATCCTTATCCCACCTTAGACCAAGACACGACCTTCCTTCATGAACTACACCCACACATGGATACCGCTCATCGTGTAAGTCTAGCCATTTAGTCCATACGCTCATTGCACCGCCGACAGAACAGCCAATGACCTGTTTCCTTTACACATAACCTACCAAAGTACCAGGTGTCCACTGTCAACAAGAAGGGCATAACATATTTTTACGGAACTAGCTCTTGCCGGCTAAGGCTCCTTGTCTATCAATCGTATTATTTCCCACCACACACCATCAGTTTTCGCAACCTGCCATCTGTTTGCCTCTCA